TGTAATTACCATGGAGTATTCATTTTAGCTTTGTTTTTTTCAAACTGAACTGAGGCTTACGCCTCGTTCCGCCTCGAGGCTTACGCCTCAAGGCATTTTTCTCCACCGCCTCGAGGCTCGTTTTCGCCTTTCAAAACCTTGATATACGGAAAAAATGATCAGACACATGTTACTTTTTTTAAAAAATAGAGTTCCTCATCACCTTAGGTGTTTTCAGGCGAGATTAGGCAAGAGGCGAGCCTAAGGCAAGGCTAAGGCCAAGCTAAGGTGAGCGCCTCATCGCCTTAGGTTTTTTCGGGTTAGGCGTCCAGTAGGCGAGTCCATAAAACCGCCCAGACGCCTAGGTGTCGCCTAGGCGGTGCCTTGATAACTGTGGTCCAAATATCTACTGCTTCGTGAAGTGCAGATGCTCTTGAAAGCCAGTAATTTTTACATCGAAGTTTATTAGAATCTCATTTTTTGAAAACATTCCCTCCGTCCTATAAAAAAGTTTCACATTTCCTTTTTTTCTTTATACAATGGTTTCTTTTTTCCTTTTGAAGAGAAAACTGTGCGGTTCACACAATTTCTCTCCTATGCACAAAACTTTACCACACTTTCACTTCTATTATTAACCGTGTCCGGTCAATATTAGATTATGTATCATATGCTTTAGACAAGCTTTGCCTTCATTCGGTAACATCATTTGTGGTTAGCATTTTGGATATTTTATTTTGGTCTACAACAATTAGATTAACTAAAAACTGCTAAAGCTAATAGCTAGAGTTGGAAAACCGCATGTAGATGTGCAAATCTTTTGCGAGCAGATTACATGTAGATGTGCTTTGGTTCCTGAAACATGCATGTTCACATAGCACACACAACTACAGACTCATTACTCAGACTTGCATAAAGTGGGAGCTCTTATGCAATCTTGCACCCCCTAAGTATCCGAGTACTAGAATGGTATACTCAGCTAAGATTTTTGTGTGTCACTTCGATTTAGATTTGGATTTTCCATTGGTCACCAATAACTTAGAATGATTAGTTTATTTATCTATGCATGGGATTTAATGTTTATTTTTGAAATAACTCATTCCCATGCTTTCTGAATTCATCCATCTCTAGTTTTGGTATACATAGTAATTATGTTAACAAAAATTTGATGTTCATTAGTTTAATCATGTACTAGTAGGAGCACAAATGGTCCATGGCTGCTCTTTGTGTCTGAGAGTGGTTTAGGAAAGAGGGTCCCCCTCACCAGTTTCCGCACATCACGTTTGAACAGAATTGGTTTAATAGGTTACAAGGTAAGTTTTCTTCCTCATCATCCATTATTCTCTTCTCTTCTGTGGGGCAAAATGGATGCAGAAAAATCATTATGGTTTATTCCAAGGAAGTTTAAATATACTGAAATCCTATCTTGAATTTTTACAGTTTACATCTGAAGATCGGCTTGCAGCAGCATTTGTTGTTGGATTTTCTCTGGGAGGTAATGCTTTATAGGTTTCTATGAATTGAAGTACGTATTGAAATGTTGAGTGTTACTCTTTGCCCTTGAGAGTTTGTGAAGCTTATGAGAGTTTCAATAAAAGCTTGAGTGCTAAAGTTAAGAAAATTACTATTTCATGTTGCAACAATACGTTGCATATAGGTGCAATGATAAGGCATATGTTTTGATAATTAATGGACCTAGTTATCTACATGTCTGTATCAAAAGACTTAAAAAATTTACTAAGAATAATGTCTAAGATCAATAATTACAACATGAAGCTAATTATACATATATTTCTATAAGGCCACAAGGTCAACTTCAAATTTAAAATCTAATGTTTTATAGCATGGCGTTGTGTTACCAATCTATGATCTTAACCTTCATTCAAATATTAAATTATTTCTTTTGTTCTTTTTATTCTATATTATATTTTACAAGTAGTCGCCCAATCATCAATTTTGTTTTGCATGAATTTTTGATTTTATATTATTGATTTCAGTTTTCAAGTGTTTACCCATTTATTTGTTTAATAATAACAATTTTATTTGAATTATTTTGTTTTTTGTGCTATGTGAAATTGTTACTGACCCTAATTTATTTGTTTTTTCAGTGTATGTTTGAACTTTGGCTTAGATATGTTGTGACTTATTTCTGTTTGTGGTTACATTATATTTAATGATTGATATAATGCACTCCCTCTGTCCCAAAATAAAAGGGGAAGTTTGGTTTATGGTGTTTGATTGAAGTCATTTTTTTTTAAAAAAAAATGCATAAAGTGTAGTGGGTGAAGAAATAGAGGGGATTAAGGACACGCCCAAGCCAAACTATTCAATTTTTTTGCAACAGTCTTTTCCTAGTCCAAGCAAAACCCTAGTTGTGAACTGCATTCTGATTTGAGAGGGGATTGAAGGACCCAGTCGATGAAACTATGTTAGGCACGACCTCCATGTCTGAAGATGGTGGAAGAAGAGTTGGAATGTTTCTGGTGGAGGAAGAGAGAATGTGAGGATGGAGGAATAAAAACCTGAATGATGTTTTGTTTTTAGACGTGGTTACGATAAGAATCTGTGACTACGCTTCACCTGTTGGGATGGGCTCCAAAAACACGTGTTCTTGAGTTAAAAAATTACAGACACAATTTTAAACCAACACCCAAACTACCTACTTCAATTTTGACCTGAAATCAAAGTCTGACTCTAATTCAGAAGCTATCCAAACCTGGCTTAAGAGCGGTTCCCTTTATTTGCAATGTCAAGCATTTGCGGGATCGGCGGTATAGTACACTATTTAAAATCCAAGAAGGATACCCTATTCACTGAAAGCTTTATTCTATTATTGACAACAAGATTCATGCCATTAACAGTGCACTAACAGTGCACTGTAAAAGACCTTTGCTTTCGAATTTCAATATCTGAAGATTGCACTTATTCAATTTAATATGGAGTAGTGCATCAAAACTAGAATACTCCTATTAATCACATGCCTAAAAATACTGGTTACTGTGAATTTGTCAAGATAGTCCAGTTACTTTGTTGATTTCTACAAAATAGTCGACACCCCTTTGGTGGAGAGCGTCATGTCACAACAGTGTTTTATTTCTGTAATGATTGGTGGTGGTTATGATTGGATTTAACAGATGATGGTGAAAGTGATGAACAAGTTGTTCTCGTAAGCCAGAGTGGAACTGTGAACAGGATAAAAGTTCGGGACATATCTATTCAATCACGGTTTGCAAGGTATGCCTTAAAACAAATAAATCTTGATCTTCTAGGTTTTTGGTGCTTGTTATTTCATCATCACCATTCCTTAGTTATATGAACTCATTTTATTACGGAGTACAATGTAAAACAAATAATTTTCATTCTCTAGCATCTCATCTTGCATCCATGGGGTTTTTTTGCCTTGGCAGAGGAGTTATTTTGATGCGGCTTGATCAGGCTGGAAAGATCCAATCGACTTCTTTGATCTCAGGAGTGGATTCAGATTCTGATGGAAGTGAAGAAGTCATTGTTGTTCCTGTTGCTGGTGCTTCATAGGACTTGGGCATTCACTCCACCTTTCCATTGTTCTTGTTGTTTGCTGCACATGGTTGACTTTCTAAAGTAGTTCTCTGCTCATGGACAATTTCCCTATAGCAGGGAGAGGACATTGATGTGGTAACGGGTAAGATGCAATCATTTGAAATAGGGTTAGGGGTAAAGTTATACCAGTTACCAAGGTTTTGTAGCTAACATTTGCATCCTGGAATTTGAGTACGATGAGTTATTAATTTTTTTGGTGGCTATCCAGGACTATTTCCCTATAGCAGGGAGAGGACATTGATGTGGTAACGGGTAAGATGCAATCATTTGAAATAGGGTTAGGGGTAAAGTTATACCAGTTACCAAGGTTTTGTAGCTAACATTTGCATCCTCGAATTTGAGTACGATGAGATATTAATTTTTTTGGTGGCTATCCAGGACTATTTTATTTGTACTATATTTTATGTTTATAATTTTGATGAAATTATAGTCCTGTGACCACTAGTTTTTATAGATCTTTTGATGTAGTTTTTAGATATATAATTTTTATTTTTCAGTTTATATCATTTTAGATAAAAATATGATTTAAAAATAACTTTATTCAAATATCGTAATGCAAAACAGGCAGTTCCGGCTAGGGGTGTAAACGAATCGAAGCGAATGTCAAAATATTTGTATTTGTTAAATTTTTTTGAATACGAATACGAATCCGAATATGAGATGAATTAAAAATAAAATTTGTATTTGTATTTGATTAATATTCGAATACCTACGATACCAAATTGTAACACTCTAATTCGTCTGGGTTTGTAGCCCCTTTCAGGCTAAAGTATTAACTTGGTAATCGTAAAAATAAAAAATATTTCACACTTATTTATCACAATAAATTTTTCATAACATAAAGTGTATGGAGTTTTCAATTCCGACAATCTCGTCTCCATTTACCTATACAATTACGTCACATTATTTTTTTTATTAATCTGCGTGTAGCAAATAAAACGCACCACACATTTAGCGTAGAAGGTGTGTAAGCATATCTAATGCGCTGAACATCTATATAAATTGAGTCTCAATTCATAATCAAATTATTTGATATCATGCACATAATGTTCAATTCAAATATTCATCATTTATGATTTTGATATTCTTCAATTCATGTCAACACATGTTATTTCATTTGAATATTCAACATTCATTATTTACAAAGTGCTCTTAAATTATTTTTAATCTAAGTCAAATAATTACAACACTCTTAGCTATTCTTAGTCTAAGCTAAATCTTAACGCTCTTAGCTATTCTTAGGCTAAGGTTAGATCATATGCACGCTCTTAAACCATTATTAGTCTAAGACAAGATTATAACAACGCTCTTAAACTATTCTTAGTCTAAGGCCAAATCATATTTTGTTTAAGGCAAACAATTCTCACACGCTTAAACTATAATTAGTTTAAGGCAAACATTTCTCAGACGCTTAAACTATAATTAGTTTAAAGCAAACAATTATTCTCAGACATTTAAACTGTAACACCCCAACTCGCGTAACTCGAATCAAGGAGTGAACGAATCGGATTGCTACTAAATTGATATTCACAAAACAACAATTTAGACAAATTATTCAAAAACATCTAGAGACCCAGTTAATTACGAGAAGTTCTGAGTAAAGTCCATCAAGCACAGAAGTCTCAAAATAATGTTCTACAATAAATGTTTTAACCAAACAATTAATAAACACATTAGTTAAATATCAAAAATAGAAGCAATGACGTCACATATCAACGTCTTCCGGGCTGGCCCTCCTGGTCCAAATCCCTACCTGCGTGCAGTCATAGACAACCAGACTACACGCCCAGCTAAAAGCTGAAGGAGAAAAATATCTAACATTAGAATTAATTTTACAGATAGTATCGCATTTATATAATCATCAACATCAGTGAACAATCAACATTTATCTTCAATTACAAGGATCCAACAGTCTCAATTCATTTATTCTTATTGGGCTAGTTCTGACCCTACAACACTAAGGCTAAATTCAACAGACTAGAGTTACGGAACTCAAGAGGATCCCTTGAAGCCGATGCTCGGACAAACCCTAAGAGAATCCTCAATGGGCAGGTTGGAGTCCCTACCAAGAAATCCCTCATGTAGAGATATCCAGAGGCTGCCGTAGAGATAGGCACTCTAAGGACGTCCTTCTCCTTGGCGGAAAGGGTTTTGGGAGGTTGACATAGTAAAGAAAATGACCATTTCCTCATTGGCAATGTACCTCTTTCGTATGAACCCTGTACCATTGGATATGCAAACATGCTGCACAAGCCCCGAACCTAACAACAGTCCTATTGGTGTTTAAACAATCCAATTCAGTTCAGATCCGCCTAAGTATACCAGTTGGCCAATTTTCAGCAGGCCCGATGCACCCGCTTGAATAGTATCAATTACCACCGGATCAACCCGACAACTCGTTGGACTGACCCGGCGTCCCAGAGACCAACAACGCAAGCCCCCCAGGCGGCTGCCCGCCGCTCGGTAGCCTCACTGCTCCCTCGGGCAGCCGGCCCAAAACCGGCCCAACGACCCAACAACCCGAATCGACCCAATTAGAGTCCGAACATAATCAATGGTAACCCGGACAGCCCAAATTACACCCTAGATAGACTCGATTGGAACCCAATTCCACAAGAATTAATCCAATTGGACACGAATTGACCCAATTGTACCAATTGGGTTCAAATTGGATCCGTAAGAACTGCCCCATACGTTGGCCACAGCCACCACTGGCCCACCGCCGGCCAACTGTTGGAAAACAGCCCCCAACACATCCTCAATCCAATCCCCAATCAACCACAAATTTCACAATCAAACACAAGATTAATACAAACAAGATTCTAATCTACGAATTAACGCTAACGATAGAAAATTGGACACCGAATCACCTCGAAATTGAAAGAGTTTGAAACCGAATTAGAGAAGAGGGATTTTCACCGCTGCTATTTCTGTCAGAGTCCACACGCATGGCTGTCGCTGCTATCATTGACAGGGAAGACAGCGACACTGCTATGGTGTCCGGCGAAATCACGAACCGGCGACAAAAGACCTGGCTGACCGGCGACAGAGAAAGCGACGCAGGGCAGGGGAACAACGAAGGTAACGGACGAAGAAAAGGAGAGGCGTAAGTCTCCCGTAACTACCCAGCCTATTAATATAATCCCTCCTCCACGAAACCCTTCCGGTTTTGACTTTGGAAAAAAATAAGTAAAGTGTAATTTTGGTTGACTTTCCAATTTTGCCCCTGATGTGATGAGAAAAAGTAAGATGTGATAATTAAGTTATTAGTGAAAAAGTATGATGTGATAGGTAGGGTATGAAAAAATAGGGGTAAAAGTGGTTTTTTAATAGAAAATGGAAGTGTTATGTGGAAAGCAAAAAAACGAAAGAGGAAGAGTTTTGTGGAACAGAGGGAGTAAAATTTAATAGGTTTTAGGGTCCAATTTACACTTTCTAGCAAGTTAGGAAAATTTAAACCCAATTACCTTATTCGTCAGTCGTATCTTGGCCTAGTAAGTTCGATTCTCAATCCGTTTGCGCAGTCGAGTTCAGAACAACGAGCTTTACAACATAGGTAAACTCTCATATTAAATACACAAATTAGAAAATAATCTTCGTATTGACCGACTTAGTAATTAATTAATTATATATATTAATAAAAAATACTAAGCTGGGTTTCGGGGCGTTACATTTCTCGTTCCCTTAAAAGAATTTTGTCCTCGAAACTACCTGAATCATTATCGCTGATGAGATGATAATACTGAACTTTCATAGACTCCTCTGTCTCCCACGTAGCCTCTTCTACAACATGGTTACACCACACGACTTTCACCAAAGGCACCCTCTTGTTCTTCAACTCCTTCAACTCCCGTGCTAGAATCTACACGGGTTCCTCTTCATAGGACAAACTGTCATCAAGGGTGACTGCTCCTTCAGGTAATCGATGCGTGGGATCAGATTAGTAACCACGAAGCATGGAGACATAGAACATATTATGGATTCTGCTCAACTCAGGGGGTAGCTCCAGCTGATAAGCAATAGGACCCACCCTTTCCGTGACATGATAGGGTCTAATGAAATGGGGACTCAATTTCCCCCTCTTGCCAAAACGAAGAACCTTCCTCCTAGGTGATACCTTGAGGAAAACCTTATCCTCTACCTCGAAGGAAATTTTCCGACGCTTCAAGTCTGCATACGACTTCTGCCGATCCGAGGCCACCTGCAATCGGTCTCGTATCAACTTGACCTTCTCTTCGGTTTTCCGTACTAGCTCGGGACCTTCCAACCTTGCCTCGCTCAGCTCGGTCCAACAAACAGAAGTCCTACACCTCCTTCCGTACAATGCCTCACACGAAGCCATGTGAATACTTGCTAGGTAACTATTATTATAAGCAAACTCCATCAAGGGCAGATATTGTTCCCAAATTTCCCCAAAGTCAATCACGCATGCTTTAATCATGTCCTCAAGTATTTGAATCACGCGCTCAGACTGACCATTGGTCTGAGGGTGAAAAATTATACTTATATTAAGCTTGCTACCCAAGGCTTGCTGAAATTCCTTCCAGAACTTCGACGTGGAACGAGGATCCCGGTCGGAGATAGTGGATATAGGTACGCCATGAAGTCTGAAAATCTCACGTATGTAAAGCTCAGCTAACTTCTGAAGTGACATATCTCGTTTGATGGGTAGGAAATGCGTCGATTTTTTGAGATGGTTGATAAGTCCGTTTTGTACGCACTTATCTTCTCTACATTTAACGTGTTGTTGTCCAATTTTGGATCAAATAAATCAATTTCTTAATGGTTTTTATAAGTTTTTGTTCGTAATTATAAAAGTGCACAAAAGTTTTTTCTTGTTTAAAAAAAATAAAAATTGAGTTAAAAGTGGTGCAAAAAGTGTAAAAGATTGTGCAAATGGAATGCAGCGGAGCAAAGGAGAAAAAGATGGTGAAAATCCTTAGAGTGAGAATTGTATATTCAATTGAGGAGATTCACCCCATCAAAAGATTTGAGGTCAAAGAGATTAAAAAAGTACCAAAAAGAAATTGTTTAAAGTGAAAAAGTAAAAAAAAAAGTGATTTGATTCAAAATTAATTTGTTTGACCTAAATTTATTCGGAATTTGAAGTCGGCGCAGAAGGGAAAGTTGTTCAAAATAATATTTTGAGCAAGATAGCATTTTTAGAATAATATTTTGGACCAGAACAAAATCCGGCCAACCAGGCGCTGCCACATGGCGTGACCTGGCTGGCCGGCCATCTGCATCAACTAGCAAGTGGGGGCGTCTATAAGCTGTCAATCATCATCACAAAAAGAGATAAAAAGAAGAGAAAGGGAGTATGGCTCGAGGAACAAAACCATGTGCGCGAAACCACGGTCGCAGCTGGGGCAACTTGTGGGGCGGCCGCCTGGGACCCCGCTCCAGAGTTTTTCATGCCTATATAAGGCGGATCGGGGAGTCTCCATTCCTATCTCCTTCGGGTCTTTAAGGCCCGGAATCCTATTCTCCGCCCCGTTTTCACTTATATTTTAATGTTTTTTTAGTTTTGTTCTGGTTGTTTCGAAGAGGTCCCGACTCTGCCCTCAGTTGTATGTTTATTTTTACAACTTTTAATAAAATGTTCTTTTATTTTATGCACTGTTAATATGTAGTACGGGTTAGGACCCAGATTAGGATCCTGTTAATATGAATCCCCTATCAAGCAATTCTTGCAATTGAGCCTTCAGCTCCATCATCGCTGCTAGGGCCATGCGGTACGGGGTCATTGAGATTGGCTCGGTACCGGGAACTAGATTAATGGAAAACTGCACCTCCCGAGGAGGCGGCATTCCAGGAAGCTTGTCAGGAAAAACATCAGGAAAGTCTCGTACTGAGGTTATGTCCTTCAACCTAGGGGGTTCTTTTGAGACATCTCTGACGTGGCAAAGGAATACCTCACACTTCTTACGGATCAACCGCTTTGCTTACATAAGAGATATAAACTCAGGTGCTCTAGGCAACAATTCTCCGTTCAACACGATCGTATTGCCGTCTGGTGCTTTCAACCGAACGGTCCTCGAACCACAGTCAACAATAACCTGGTGTTCGGTGAGCTGGTCCGTACCAAGGATGACGTCAAATTCCTTATATGGAAGCTCGATCTGATGTACGGGAAACAACTGCCCGTGTGCAATGAACGGGCATTGACGGTAGACGTAATGTAGACTCATGTTGTGCCCTAAAGGGTTAGACACCAGCATTAGACTCTCTAGACGACTCCTCACAACATCAGAAGTAGCGGATAGAGGCACATCAATATATGACAAGGTAGAGTCAGGATCAATTAAAACTAACATACCAGAACCATAGAGTGAGAACATACCATGGATAACATCCGGGTTAGGATCTGCACGACCGTGCATGGCATATGTCCTGGCCGGCGCGCGACCCTAGTGCTGCGCCGCCAGCTGCGGTGGTCTCTGTTGTTGTCGCTGCAGATGGGAGCCAGCCGTGGAGCGCTGACTTGGTGCGGGACGCAAGGCCTGAGCCTGGCTCGCCGCTTGGGCAGTCGGGAATGCGTGCCCTGGGTTTGTGGCCCAAGCACAACCCCATACTCCACCAACACTCGCATGGATGATAACGATTGCAGCTCGTACACAAGGGATGCTTAGGTGCCTTCCCCTTGCTGTTCGAGGCCATAGCTTGAGTCGACGTTGATTTGGCCTTCTAGGACAGCTGAATCCCCAATCCACTCAAGGGTCTCTTACCCTCAAACGCTTTGCCCGAACTGGCCGCCGGCGGGTGTACCTTTGCTGGCATCTAATCAGTCTCCGGCTTCTACCCTTCTTTGGTTCTGACCACTTCCTTCGCTTGCTCATACATCAAGCCAAAATCCTCTCTTGACGCCGTGGACATGTACTCATGAAGCTTCAGGTGCATGCCCTTAACGAACATGTCACAACGCCTTTTGTTGGTGTTCACCAAGTCTTGACCAAATTCCGCCAAGTGGTCAAACATCTGGTGGTACTCGGGTAAGCTCATCGTCCCCATCTCCAGGTGCATGAACTCTTCCCGTTTCTCCTCAACGAACGAATCGGGAATGTACTAATCCTTGAACAGCCGATCCAAATACACCCACATCAGCTAGGCTGGGTGGTTCGCATTCCAAGTGGTGCGTTTCCACCACTTGTACGCGTGACTCTACAACAACATAACTGCCTGATCCGCCCACTCTCTATCCGGGACCTTCAGATTCTCGAACTCGCATCTCGCACGCTTGAGCCATCGAAACGCAAATAGGGGATCCGTGATATTAACACCGAGAAACTCCTTAGCGCCGTTCTTCTTCAGCTTCTTGATTGTGAACCTGGACTCAAGTTGCTAAGTCTGCACTATAGCATTCTAGTTCATGATGAGCACCTGCTGTAGAAGCTACATCATCAACGCACGGTCCATCGATGGGAAACCAGCAGGCCCACCATTCGCCCCCCCTGCGGTGGAGCGTTCTGATTCGCATTCTGATGCGGGGACACGCTCGCTTCCTCAGAATGATCATCGTCGTAGTTCACAACAAAGTCCATTCTACATTTTTAATGGCAATTAAGCAAAAATTTCACCAAAATCACGCATTAAAAATCAAGAGTTACCTCCCGAAGTAGTGACGTCGCAAAGATGTGGATGACCTGTTTTTTTAAGATACACATTTAGTTATATATATATATATATATATATATATATATATATATATAATTTATAAGTTAAATAAGATAAGATTGTTGATAAATATATTGTACAAAATAATATTAGTCAGTAATTAACTAAATATATATTTATATATTTACTCGGTTTTTACCGAAGTATTATATATATTTATATATTTGTATTTTAATTAAATAAATGATTAATATATATTTTGGAAAGTTATATATCAGTAAGAAAAATAATATTTTTCAAAATATTAAATTTTTATAATTTAATATTTTCGAAAATAATTAAAATGGCTTTTTATAACTTATTGAGATTTAACTAATGTATTTTGGAAATAATGATTTATAAATTTTGTAAATTTTATTTCCAGGTTTATAAATGTTGAAAATAATTACTGGTAGTTTAAATTTAATTTTCATGATTTTTGCAAAATGTTTTCGGAATTAAATTGCCTTTTTCGAAAATAATTTTGCAAAAGGGGCATTTTGGTCATTTGGAATATTCTGGATATTTTTTATGATGGCAGAATATCCATAGTATATAAAATGATTTTTATAAAATTTTATTAGATTTATTTTGGACATCTAATTTAATTTTATGAGTTTTAGAAAATATTTACTATCGTAGTATTTCTCTATGACTGTCTGGGGTGAGCGCGGCTCACCCGGTGTATGTATATTTCTATTGCTTGTGTGGATGTATGATATGCATGGTGGATGATTGTGGCTATAGTTTATTTGATTATAATACGGCCTGCGTGTCGTGCATTATCGCATAAACTCTTGTTGTAAATCTATTTCTCTCTTACCTCAACCGAGGATTCTTTTCTCACGTGGTGGTTAGAAGACGAAAAGATTTGAAGACCGTTTGAAGAAATCTAAAAGAATGGAGATAACCCAAAGTCCAAGTGCCCGGAAGCCAGTGGGAGCTATCGTTTTACTTTTCTTTTAGGGGCCACAATCATTACACATTTATTTACTGCGTTTTGTGAATGCATGTTGAACGCTAGTAACGGACATGTGCGCGGCCATGTTGATAGGTGAGATCGAAATTATAAATCCCTCACGAATATTAAGTCTGTTGCCTTCTGACGCCCAGCACCTATCCGGCTAATGTGCACTGTCATGTACTGAGCCTCAACAGAGCATAGTACGGTGTATGTTAAGCTAGTTACGGGAACCGCCATAGCGTGGTCGCTATCGCACGTTGGGTTAGACTTAACTGAGTCTCGGTCAAATGGATGGACTTCAGAGGCAGTAAGTTTGGGTCATCAATGACAAGTCGGATGATTTTACTCACTCATCCAGCCAGGAGTTGGATCTTTATGATTTAATTGTAACTCTATTCCTAACCAAAGTAGTCTGCTTGTAAGATGTGCCTCAGCCAATTACAAGTATGGTGAAAAGGTGTCCTGGTCCGGTTGTAGAAATATATTTCGCCCAACACCAGACCAAGAGCTGAGAGCCCGGCTCATCAGTTGGAACTATGTTCCTACCTAAATAGTTGTCTTGTGGAGTAACGCCCAAGCGGAATGCAAGATAATGAAATATGGATCTTGGCCTAATAGAGGTTTCGCTGGAAATCTCCAAATCAATATCGAGGGTTATTGATTTGTTAAAAATAGTGGGAGATAATTAATTAAAGGCCTAATTAATTATTAAACATGATAGATAACCTAGTTTGCAAAATTTTGTATAGATGGCAAACAACAACAACCCTTTCAACCTGCCATACATCCTGGAAAACAACAAGTTATCTGGGACCAACTTTCTTGACTGGAGATGTGTTGTATTTAGGTGCCCTAGCGGCAATCAAATACCTATGTAACTGTACACTTTATCATGAATGAAAGGCCTTGAAGTATGTTTTATATCTCGTGTAACATAACATAGCTTCAGTCCATAGACGATAGCGCTTCAGTAACATAGATGAGGACTACGATGTTCTGATTATGAGACTGTTACTTCTTGACGAAGGCT